AGCCCAGCCTTAAACACCTCTAGGGATGGAGATTCCAGCCCCTCCCCAGGGAACCCAGCCCAGCGCTTCCCCACCCACCTAGGGACTTTTTCCTAATCCCCAACCCAGTCCTGCACTGCACTCCAACACACTGCCCCCCCAGCAGGCTCTGAGAGCAATGGAGACAACACAGTTTAAATAATAATCTCTGGAGATATCCTTATCTCCTAGAACTAGAAGGGACCTTGACAGGTCATCAAGTCCAGTCCCCTGCCCTCATCCCTGAGAGATCGGCCTCAGATCCCTAAATGGCCCCTCGAGGATTGAACTCACAACCCTAGGTTTAGCAAGCTCAAACCACTGAGCTATCCCTCCCCCTTGTACTGGTATAAGGGTGCAAAGTCAGGAGCTTTTCTGGCTGTGGCATCTACCCAAAACCATTGTTAAAACCTGTCAAACTTACTAACTACACAGACACACAAGGCCTAAGGCAAACTTTGAAATATTTAGAATTTGAAGGAAAGATCCGGTCTCCAGAGAGGCCGAGCGCAGAGGGGAAGTAGCTGCAAACCTGCAAGCCCGCGATCTCAGAGCAGCGGGTGCCGCCAGGAAGCAGGGTTTCACCATGGAAGAGCTGGGGCATGGGGCTGCTGTTTGAACGATTGTAAGAATGAAGAGCTACCGCCGCGCCGCGCACAACCAGGCACTGGGCATTGTCAGCCGCCGCACGTTCACCGTCACCAGATTTCACCCGTATAAAACCGTTAAAGGGGGCCCCCATGTAGGTGACTGGCCCTGCACCTCCCGAGGCCGGGCCCTGACCCAGCAAGCTCAGGTTGTTCGATGCCCCTTTCGCAGCGTAATGGCCAAGGGTCCCCCTGTGTCAGAGCCAGCCGTGGGGGCTGGGAATGGAATGGGGGCGGAGGGGGTCTATTCCCACCTGGACAGTGTCGCCTGGAAAGCAGGCGCTGGGAGGCTGCCAAGCCAAAGCCCTGGTGCAACAGCTCAGGGAGGAGCAGCGGGGGGGG